GAGGGAAGGGGGGAGAAGGGGGAGTGGGGAGGGGACGGTGGTAGCTGATTAGGGCCACTGATTGGCCCTGCCCCCCGGGGCTCTGCCCCACGAATACCAAGCCCCCTCGTGCCCCGAATTTCACCCCGGGCACCTTTAATGAAACGTATAACTCCGTTATAAGGACCACGCCATGTTTCTTTCAGTAGTCGTATCCTTTCAGGTCAGGGCTCTTCGTCAGTTCCTTGAGGGGAATGCTATTGTTAGCAGAACTGGTCAAAACATAATCTTAGTTCTGGCCAGATAAACTGAGCAGATATTGCTGTGCAGTATATACTAAGTTATACTGTATATCGTTCAATCAATATTTTTTCGATAAAAAAAAAACAGTAAAATAATAACATACAAAATAAAAAATAACAGCAAAATAAAAACAGTAACAACATACTAATTGGTTACATGTACCGAGTACACGGTTAGCAGATTTCGGAGAAAGGGAGATTGAGGGAGGTTAGGGTGTCGATTGTTTCCCGCAATAAAAATCTTTAGGGAGCGAGAATATCGTTTTCCTCCCCCTCATAATTTGAATTAAAATCAATTATAGATAATCTACATGAATCGATAAAATGTATTGACTAAAATCGATTAAGAAAAATCGTTTAGCTAACTTGACTAGGGCCTAGTAGTATGTAACTATTTTATAAATACCTAACTGTTACCTATACATGTATTATTGATATTTATTCTTCAGGTATATATTTACTTTGCTACATATGTTTTTTACTCCTAAGCTTCCCTTACTTATCCAGAGATAGCAGCAGTGTTACTAGGCTTTCTTCAGTTCATTAAATAAAATTGGAAATTTACTATTATCTCTAAACAGTTTAGTTAAGAACTTCAAGGGGTATTCTAAGCTGTTGCGAATATACTGCTTAAGATTGAGCTTTGGGGCTCCACCAAACCATCGAATTCCTATCGCATCCAATCCTTACAATCCAAAATCCTCCGTAAAATCCTTAATGCTCCAAACTTTGTCACAAATAAAACCATTCATAAAGACCTTAATGTACCATATGTCGCTGATTTAGCTCGAGTCAGATATCTATCCTTTCATGATAAACTTCAGTCCCATCCAAATCCGCTTGTTTCCACTCTTGCTTCTTCCTCGATTCCTGATAATCCTCCTAGGAGTCTGAAAAGAAGATGGCCTCGTGATCTTCTTACTTAAAATTATTTAGAGAGTGCTACCACTGGGTAGTAACTCTTCAAGCCTGTACATGCCATTATTTATATTTGCGCATATTTACTAGTTGTATTTGTATACAGTTGTAAATTCCATTAAATAAACAAAAAAAAAAAAAAAAGAAGATTGAGTGGTAAGGGAAAGTCGTGTGATGCACAAACCGCTGTGTACTTTTTTATTCATATTAGACCTACATATTGCGCTGGTTGTTGGCATCTGGAATTTTGATTTACAGAGCCCATATTTGGCTATCGTATTTTTAAAATAATTAATATACAATTTAGATCTTACAGAATTCATATTCTTAATATAGAATTTCGCCCTTCATTGTGGCAGACTGTATTAATACTCAATAAAATAAAGAAAAGAAAAAATATCTTATTGTATGAATAAGAAATTGTTACTTTCCTTCTTTTAATAGTTAGATTCAATAGTGATTAAGCGTAGATTTTTGTGTATTTCTTAAAAGAAAAGTATCGGTAAACCGGTGTCCGTCGATAACCCGCCCTCCCGGTAAAAACCCGTAGACCTTGGTGGGAGGATAAGCTCCCATGTATATTATAATTATAAAACTAAAGAGATCACTTCGCCGATTGTTATCTAGAGAATTTTTGTTTACGTACGAGTAACTGGCAACACTGAACCCAGCTGAATTCAATATCAAATTTTCTGTACTCTGGTTATTAGTCTATTAGTCTATGTATATATATATACATTTTTTTTGCATATCAGCATATCAGGTCAACAGCAATAATTTTAAAATGAGACTAAATTTAATGGTCATCGATAGCTGTAAATTAAGGGACTATATCAATTCCAATTGTCGCTTTGTAGAAAGATGGATCTCACAGATAGAGGACAACATGGCGATTGTTTGCCGGAAAAAAGGAGATCAAGCGAAATTATCAAGCTGGGACTAACTGAAAGATAACAATGAGCGGAAATGAGGGATCAAGGTGGCACCGACCGGTAGGAGGAGGAGTGGGGGAAGGGGGAGGGATAAATTGATGAGGCCGTTTGCCGCTGTCAGCTCTGAGATGTCCGGGATCAGTTTGTCCGCCGTTTCCTCCCTACCGCGTCGAGCACTCTCCCTAGCTCTGCCTTCCAGACGTTTCTTTATCACAGTTCCCGGATTTAATGAATCTTGAAGACAGAATGCGCTCTGATGGTCGATAGTTTAAGTCCTAACAAAAACAACCAGAGTAATTTGATGTTACCATCCAAGTATCTGGATAAGATGGACGAAGAGTTCTCAGCCAAATTAACAAACAGAAAATCAGAATGTGAATTCAAAGATTTTGAAATAGCTAATATGTACTTTAATGATATATCGTCAGTTTATCGCAAAAAGTCACTAAGTGTATTTTTGATATAGGATAGCTTTCAAATATGCTTTTATGGATTTCGATTTTATTTATCGATACATTAAAATAAAAAAAACTCCTTACAACAAATTAACCATTGTTTGATTTTATAAAAGGAAAATTCCTCGACGTTCTTGATTATTATAGGTTATGGATGTCATTAAATGACTTTTTGCAAACAACCGACGATATCTACATTTTTTTCTGTTTTCCCCATTCTCACCATTTAGGCTATACGGGTTTTTCCCGGACGTGATGGCGGGAGAATAATGCGAAGTTAAAAGCTTACCGGTTAACGCGTGGTTCAGTTTATACACGTTAGTCAGCTCGGCCACCCCACCTTCCCCAATGTATATTGGATCACGAATTTTTTTTTTTTTGGTCCTCCCCTTCTTTGCCTTTAGCCTATACGAGGTTTTCCCTGGCCACGTGGTAAGTTTGGAGGTTTAACTCCTGCTTTCTCAAAATAAAACAAAATTGACTGAAACTACTATCATTCTTATCCCTCAATCGAAAATTAATTTAATTATATATATAATTGATAAGAATAGAAACAAAAAGATATAAGTGCATTTCTTGAAAAAAAAAGTTGTGTGCTGATGTTGAAATTTGTACTTAGTAGTTAAGAGGTGTATACTGCAGTAAAGTTGGCAATCACTTAACCTCCAAAAAAATGTTAATTTGACTGTGAAAGTATAGTAGTCCGTGATACAACCCCATTTTCTCAAATTATTAACACCCATCTAAAACTTGTGAATGGGTACATCTTATCGTAACCTACAAATTTTTATCTACGAAAATGTTCAAAAAATGGAGCGGTTTTCAATAACTAAATTAATTTAATGAGTTACTCAAAAATTCATAAATACCCATTTGCTTTCCGCTTGAATCGTACAATAATTAGGTCAGAAAGTCGAGTAAAAAGGTGCCTACAAATATATTGGGCTGTTTGGCCTATATAATCTCGTTATTTCGACGCGTTGGTTATGGGCGTCACGTCACACAGCCCATTATTTTTGTAGGCTTCCTTTTTTCTCGTATTTGTGATCAAATTATCTCGAGATTAATGGTGTTCGTATGTTTTTAATACCTCATTAAATTGTTAGGTTTACCTATCTCCAGATTGAAAACGAACCATCTTCGGGAATTTTGGTAAATAAAAAGTTGTAGGTTACGATAATATGAAGTCATTCAGATAAACGTTTATTATCTGTAATTTCACCACTTATATTGTATATAGGTGTGACTGTTTTTATGTTTTTAATTTACTTGTATTTAGGTTATTTTATTTTTTTTATTGTATATAGTTTTTATTTATTATTATTTATTTATTATTTTACTATTGTTAATTTTATTTATTTTTTTGTATATACGGTGTGAATGTGTTCATTTATCAACATAATTATTGTCCCTGTGATAGAATGTTATATGTCTAAATAAATAAAATTTCACCACTTGTGTGTGTTGTATAGACTTAGCAGTATTAGATTGTACATACGAATAAACAAGTTTTCCTAACACGTTTATACTTTGTATTAAAAATATATAAGAGAGAGATAAAAAAAAAAAAAAGATTAATTTAATTCGAAAGTTCTCACACAGGTTAGTTTATTATTTAATAACCTAAGAAAATATCATTAAAGGCCTTTGCTATTTCCTATTTTTATACTCAGTTGAAAGGTGAGTGACCCCGAGACCTTTTGATAATTATAAAAATTGGTACTCTGGCAGTAGGCAACCTCTCAATTCATCACCACTCCGTTGCATTTTAGACTATGTTTCACTTAAACGCTCTCACATAATAAGAATGGCGAAAATGAACTAGACTATTGTTACAATAAAAAATCTCATTCACCAATCCAGGATCTCCTGATATAAAGATTTTTTAAAATTAATAACTAACATCTGATATTGGAGCTAGCTAGATGAGTGAGCCTAGCTAGGTGATGCCTTACGATTCCTTCAATGGGAGCACAGATTACACTAACTGCGTAATGAATATGATGTTGAAAATCTCTGCAGCTTGCAGATGCATATATTTTTTCAACAATATAGATTTTCTGTTTTGTTTTTAATTTATGATAATATTTCCTGCAATGTTTCTGAACTGACTTTTATATTTTGGAAATATAATCTTCAATTACAAGCACAGACCGAACCAACAACTACGTCATGAATATGATATTGAAACTTAATGCAGCTTACAGATGGATATCCAAATATTTAAAAATGAATGTCAAAATAAATTTTCTTTTTCAGTTTTTATTTTTTGACAGTGTTATTCATATTTTGTTTTAAATATAATATTGTATTTATCTATTTCAAACTATAGAATTGATTTTTTTTCTTTTTAACCTGTATGATATACACACACACATAAAACAATAATTTAAAAAAAAGGAGCTGAAGAGAACAATAAACTTTATTTATTTTTTCTAGAATAATATTGCATTATCATACCTTCGGAACTTACAGAATATTAATTATTTTGTCAAATATTTACTTCTACATTCTTTTTTAACTAGAACTATCTTCCAAATCTACCACCGCATCCTCTTCCGCCAGTTTTGCCATATCCACCTCCATATCCACTACCGTATCCACCTCCATAACCTCCATGTCCACCTACGAATCCACTGCCGCCAGATCCGTGTCCACCACCAAATCCACTCCCTACGGCTCCTTGTCCGCCTCCAAATCCGCTGCCGCCAGATACGTGTCCGCCACCAAATCCACTCCCAACAGCTCCTTTTCCACCTCCAAATCCACTCCCAGCAGATCCGTGTCCGCCTCCAAATCCAATGCCACCAGATCCATGTCCACCACCAAATCCACTCCCTACGGCTTGTCCACCACCAAATCCACTCCCAGCAGCTTGTCCACCACCAAACCCACTCCCTACGGCTTGTCCACCACCGAATCCATTGCCAACAGCTTTTCCATTACCAAATCCATGTCCACCACCAAACCCACTGCCTGCGGCTTGTCCACCACCAAATCCATTGGCGACAGTTTGTCCATTACAACATCCATGTCCACCACCAAACCCACTGCCTGCGGCCTGCCCGCCACCAAATCCATTGGCGACAGCTTGTCCACCACCAAATCCACTGGCAACAGCTTGTCCACCACCAAATCCACTTGCACCAGCTCCATGTCCTCCACCGAATCCACTGCCGACAGCTTGTCCACCACCAAATCCACTGCCGACAGCTTGTCCACCACCAAATCCATTGGCGACAGCTTGTCCACCACCAAATCCAATTCCACCAACTCCATGTCCACCACCAAATCCACTAGCGACAGCTTTTCCACCGCCAAATCCACTCCCAACAGCTTGTCCACCACCAAATCCAGCACCTTGTCCTCCTCCATAGCCGCCTCCATGACCACCATTAAATCCACTTCCCGGAATTACACCACAGTGATTTCCAGAGCATCCTTTAATATAGATTAAGTGTTTATATGCCTAGATCTTTATTTGACACAAAGAATATTTTTTTAAGAAAACTAAAATTAATCTAAGCTCAAATATTTACTTTTATCATTAAGCGTGTTACAGCTTGAGATATAAGAAAAAAACATAAATGCATAATAAGCCCTAATTCTGTTTCTAAAAATGTATTTTATTCGAAGGTGTTATCAAGAAATAAAAGATAAGATTTTTGTCCCCCGCATCAATAAATTTAATAATTGATATATAAAACACAATCATCAGATTGCCTATAAGCTATATAATCATTTGATATCGTAATATATAGAAGGGATATTAAATAAAGAAAATGATCAGATCAAAAGATGGAATGTTCCTAATTTCACATTTTTTTCCATTTGGGTTTGGAGTATATTATATATTTACACACCTCTAAGAAGACTTACAAGAATAATTAGGACATTTTCCTATTCATATAAATTCTAAATTTAATGTTTTATATTATTTATTGTTATTTATTATCAGTAAAATGCATATCAATACTTACCAAAGACTTGGCTCTGGACGCAGGCCGCCAGCACTATCAGTACAGAGATGAACATGCTGCTGGAGTAGTCCACTCTTCGGTGGTTAGTGTGATGGTACCACAAAGGTAGCGCCGCTTTATAGGAATATTGAAGACAAAATATTTGTCATCTTAATTGCAGCTGCTTCTACTTAAATTTCATTTGAATATTGCATTTTCAAATATGGTTGTTTACAATGGTAATCAATGTTACAATGCTAATATCTCTAATTGATTAATTTATCTACGTCATGTCTCAGGCCTTCAGAATTCAGTAACGAGATCAATCAAATGTAAGTAACCACTTGTTCATTAAAAATATAGGATCTGCGGCGGCGTTCATAGAACTAATTATAGTTTAACAATTTATAAATATGTGTTCGTAGTTAAAGTTATTAAAAGTTATTGTATATTGATCTTCTATCATAAAAATAAGATACAATAGTTTTTAAGAAGCAATTCTAAAAGGATATTTCGATGGTGCTACGGTGTTTCGTAAGTAGAGGGAAATATATAAAAAAGTTGAGGAGACCTCAAGCTACAAAGAATTTTATATAATTATAAGATTTTTCGCAGAAAAGGAGGATTTTCATGTTTAGGTAAGTTACATTTTTGTTCTATAGGAGGCGATACCTAACAACAAAACTTTTTTTCATCATCTTCCGAGTTTAATACTAATTATTTATTTAAATAAATAAAAAACTTTTAAGTCATAAAAATAATTCAAGCAATTCACATGTTTATTCATATATGTGTATATGGTAAATATTGGATTTATGTATATATATATATATATATATATATATATATATATATATATATATATATACATAAGGCATTGTTTTGTAGCTCGTGAGGTCTTCTATCGCCCATTTAAATATATTTCTCTACTTATGCGACATCATGTATATATATATATATATATATATATATATATATATATATATATATAGAGAGAGAGAGAGAGAGAGATAGATATATATATATATATATATATTTGATATACAGAACAATTCATTTGTCTCGGCAATCCATGGAAATATTTATGTAACTAACGATGACCCACATCAGAATCCTCATTTTCATAGTTTTAGATATATTTATAAATTTCATCAAGTTTGAATTATATAATTTTTATTCCTGGTGACATTACAGATCTTATAGATCTTTCGTTTGCCGCCTACTTCATCTCTGCCTATCTTGGGTTATTCCATTGCAGCTTTGGTGCGATCTCTTGCCTACTATTTCTGCATTCATTGTTGCACAAAGGCTTCCTGGTGGATTTCTCTGAGCTTCATGCTACGCACATCTTAATCTCTTTGCCTTAATATCATGAGATTTTGATTGACAGTTTTAGTAAGCAGTTCTTCATTTATCTTTTCTATGCGTTAGTACTCTGATCCCAGGTTGATATAGTTACAATGTGGAGGATTTTTCTTTCAAATTTTCAATAATTCTTTCTTGATTGCTAGTTAGTGTCCAGGTATTGCAGTCATAGGTCAGAATTGACTTTATATTAGTATTGTACACTCTTAATTCGATTTTTTTTTGAGATTTTTTGCGATTTTAATAGAGCTTCGAAGTGAGGATAACCAATTTGTCAAGTTCTTCATTCCACCAAATAATGTTACCTGTTCAACCTCTACTTTTCCTTAATAGTATAATTACTCAGTGTAAAATTAAACTGTGTCTGGTTTTGTGAAGAAGTCAGAAGTTCAGTATATTTTTTGTTTATTATTATTTATTTATTAGACATTGTTTTACATGAATAGGATAATGGTATTATCTGGACTTGCTAACCGGAATTTATATGAACCTCATAACGCGAATTCTGGAGGTGACGGAATTCATGTTTTCAGACATTGAATAACCAACCATTGTATTTCAATTAATGTTGAAATAGTTACTTTACAAACACCTATGTGCATAATAGAGCATTGTATTCTTTTCACTGAATGTATCGAAAAAAAGATCAATAAATATTATTTATGTATCAATTAAATAAATAAATAAGGCTTAGTGAACCCAAAACTTCACTATACTACTAACTTGCTGTCTATAAACTTCCGTCCACCGTCCTCCGTCCAAACCCAATTATGTCAGTATTAAATATATCAAATACGATTGAAATATACTTAATAAACGTCACATAATATTAAAGTAAACACATGACATAAAAGAAATTAATGGATAGACAAAAGAAAGGAAATTATTTTATTTGGAAATTATTTAATTAAAATTATTTAAAATGGGAGTTATATCAATACTTCAACGGTAGCAGGTTTGGGACTACAGAGGGACAAAGGAATACTTTTCTTGTACGACAAAAAAATTGAGGGCGGCGAATTTAAGACTTTGTTTTGACTTCAGAAAGTGTTAGTTTATACTTTTTGTTTTTTTAAACTTTATTTTAGTAAATGACACAAGTTAATTTAATTGGACGATATAAAATCCATTACATGAAATAATGATATACGATGTTGGCTTTTATTTAAATAACAAAACAGAAAGTGAAACGAAGGGGGTGGCAAAAGTTCGGCCTGAGATCTCTGAGGCACATTTTAATTTTCTTGATTGTTAACATTGCTCAGCGACGAAACAGTTCATATCCAGAAGTTGTTCATGTCTGGCTTATCCTGCCCAATTGTCAGCGGTATAAGCTTATTACTTGATAAAAAAAGTGATTGAAATAGTGGTTAAACAATTATGACAATTGGTGACCTGGCAGTGGGCAGTCTCTCAACCCATTGGATACTTCAGCGCTCTCATATGAGAAGGCGAAAAATAGACGAACCTGGTTACAATAAAGATTCTTATTCACCAAGCTAGAACCTCGTGAAATGAATATTTTCAAAATTGATTAAATATTTTATAAAATTTTCTAAGTGAGTCCCATGAAGAAATCACAAAGAAACTGGAAGGAAATAATATTATAGTTAATACCAAGAAGATCGACTGTATAAATGTTTCCTCCCAGAAGAATAAATGCCGACTTCCTAAGGTGTATAGAGTAGCGGTCAAAACAAATAGTTCAGCACAGAGCATAGTGTATTTGGATGTCACCCTTGACAGGCACCTAACACTCTTCCGCCACTGCCAGAAGAAGGTAAAGCTGGTGAAGACCAAGTCTTACATGCTAAATCATCTGTTAACCTAACCAAATATATACCTCCGCCTCAAGTTATTAATTTATAAAAGCGTTCTAAGAAACCTTCTTATGGAGCACCTACGTTATAAAATATATCAGCCTCAACTGTAACTATGCTCCACCATTTTCGAAACGGAGCTCTGAGGTATATTGTGAGACATACATCATTACAGAGAACAAAATCAGAACAACTCCACAAGACTTTTGAACTACCGACTGTAACAGACTTTATAACACGCAGGCACGTCAATTTTTTTGATAGTCTTCAATACGCGACTAACCGGCTGACACTAACTCCGACGGGACGACCACAAAGGTCGCAAGCGCCTTAAAATTGACTAGAATGAGGACTACTAGCTAGCCGGACTGACACAAGACAACTAGTGAGCCCCATCACTATACTAACGACTCAGCAGTTAGCAATTTTTAAAACACTTGTACACCTCATAACTCCCTTAAAATGCATAGGATATATGCAGTACAAGGGACTCCATCACATAAAGAAAGAAGTGAAAATCTCAACTACTGATCTTTTGGATAAGAAAAATAAATTAATACAACTTGGTGAGCTCTCGTGGGTAATAGGCTTATTACTCCTTTCAAGATAGGCACACACTGCAATATGCCATGATGTTGAAACCAGCGCAAAATTAATTTCAGCATATTAATTAAGCAACTGAATTAGAGACATATTGAATTAAAAAAAAAAATCAAATATTAAACAACTTCAGAAATAAATTACATTTTTTTGGCAGATATGACGTCATTGTCCATGGAGGCGCCATATATCTAAGGCCGATAATGGTTAAAACCTGCAGCTTACATATGGATATCCTTTTAAATCAAAATATGTTTTCTTTTTATTTTATGATGATTTTTTCTGAATATTTTTGTAATTAAAACTATTTTCAAATCTACCATCTGATCCACTTTCACGTTTACAATATACGGAGTTTGGCCAGTTGGTACTATAAAAAAACATTTCTTCAATTACATGGACAGACTGCACCACTAACTATATCATGAATATAACATCGAAACGTCCTCCATGCTGTTCATGGATACCAAATTATATCAAATTAAATTTTATTTTTCTATTTTTATTTTATGAAGATTATTTTACCATAATCATCATCAAATAAAAATTGCAAAATAAAATTTAATTTGATATAATTTGGTATCCATGTGTAACTTGCAGGACGTTTCAAATGGTGAATTATAGAGGCTGGGTGTGCCCCAGGGAGGGTCTCCATAACCAGGATCGCCCCACGGCCGATGAAATAGAATAAATAATTTTTCTACCATGAGCCGAGCATTCGAACTTGGGACCTTTAGCATCATAAGCTCAGTGATCATCAGTGATGTGGCACTGAGCTACCCCACTTCCTAGTTAATAAAATTCTACTACTAGTTAATAAAATAAAGGAAATAAAATTCAATCAAACAGAAAATATTCTTATGAACGCTTAAGCGAAGCTATTCAGTCTATGGTGAATTCCGTTCTTTATTCAGCGGAGGTTTGAGCTCCATTATACTTTCAAAAATTAGAGCGCGTTGCTTTGGGTTATTTTAAAACAATTTATCATTGGCCACGCAATATTTCTAATCATTATGTACGTGTAGAAACAGGTCAAGAATCATTAGAAATAAGCGTTCTTGAAAGAATGATTCGCTAGTACCGAAAAGTAGACCAAAAAGAAGACATCCGGTTACTAAAAGTATGTTTACAAATTTGAAAAAAACATTCCTCTAATTATTTAACCAACACAAAATATAATTGATACCTACAATTGATAAATATGCTGAGAGTAATAGACTCGGCTGAATTATTAAATATTAAAAATGAAGAATTACTTGAAGGGAATGTAAAAATGTTATTGAAAAGATAAAATATAATAAATTTTCACTCGAT